GGAAAATTGACCAACCTGCTCGTCGCGTGCCACTCTCCCTCCCACTAGAATGGATGCAGCGTCTGTAAAGCTGATGTTTACGCAGCTATGTTTACCTTGTGTTGACGGATCGGTGCCCAGATCGGAGGTGGACTTGTGCACGAGCGGTCGTGGCCCAAATACGCCCCAGCGCTCCAGCATCCCTCCTCCTGCGTCGCCTCCCACCAGATCCACGCTGCTGTTGGAGGAGCTCACACTGACGTCCGAACTGGTGCTGCTGAACCAGCTCCTAAACAAAACAAAAAAACAAACGTGAGCAGGGCCGGTTACATATTAGCCCGGATGGTTAGGGTGGGGGTGGCGAGGTACCTGCGTTGCTGTTTCGGGGAGGTGTGCGGAGTGGTGGATGGCGTGGACTGGGCTGACGAGTTCTGGCGCTCCTCCCGAGCCTCCAGGCTCTGAATCTGCATTTTCTACGGCACAATGAAATTGCCATAAAAATAAGGCTACTTGAAACACAAAAAGGTCCTACGACTGATAGAATAGAGCTGTAACATATTTATTGTCCTCCACAGAAGTGTACGGGCTCCTACGACACAATTATGATCTTAAAAATTATAACTGTCCAAACTTTATGAGAATTTGGTCGTAACACTACAAGAAAAGAAAATTGATGTGTTTGTGTGTTACCTGGAAGGATTCGGGCATGCGGTGGTGATGTCTCGTCTCCTCTGCCGTGAGGCCTTTATGGGGAGTGTAACCAGTGTCGCTGAGGCCCGCTTTCTGCTCAAACTTGTACATGCTGTCATGAGTCTGCTCTGTAAGATAAGATAAGAAGAAAACCTTTATTAGTCTCGCAATGGAGAAATTCCCAATTCACAGCAGCAAAGTTATGAATGGAAGAAGTAGAACAACAAAATATAGGAGCTGCTGGAAAGGCAGCCACTCACGCGGCGCCATCTTGAAGTCAAAATCACAAAAATAACACAACACAGACAGAGGTGGCAAAAGTACTCACAGTCTGTAATTGTGTAGAAATACGGAGTTGAATACTGATTCAACTCGTTTACCTATTACTTAAAAGTAGAGATCTGTTTTCAAATGCAGGGAGTGAAAGTTAAAAGTCATTCGGACAGAGGTGGCAAAAGTACTCACAGTCTGTAATTGAGTAGAAATACGGAGACTTGTGAAAAAAAAAATACTCTGGTATAAGCTGCAGTACGGATTCAACTCGTTTACCTATTAAAAGTAGAGATCTGTTTTCAAGTGCAGGGAGTGAAAGTTAAAAGTCATTCAAGAAAGTAATACTATCTACTTAAATCCAGTAACGAAACATTTGTACTCTCTTACCCCGCAGCAGTGGCAGGCGAGCACCTGTGGAGGTC